TGATGGGTGTTTTGGGGGATTGGGCCCCCCCTTGACGCCCCTACCCCTGCAGCCATCGTGCTGGCCATGGGCAAGGAGGGCGTCCACGGCGGCTGCGTCAACAAGAAATGCTACGAGATGGCCAATCACCTGCGGCGCAGCCAGTACTGAGGGGGCTGGGGGGGACCCCCGGGGCCACCCGGGGGCCCCCTGGACCCCCAGGGACCAGCAGGAGCCGCCAGGGACCAGCAGGACCCCGTCCCCCACCCCCCTCTCGCCTCCCCAGTCCCCGCTGCCGGCAGCAATAAAGTGCCCTTGTGGGGAGTCACTGTGGGGCTGGAATGTGTCGGGCAGGATTTGGGGGGTGGGATAGGAGAACCCGATGTGTGGGGCAGAGCTGTGGGGTGTGGCTCTGCCCTCCGCCCAGGGCACGGGGAGCCTTCCCAGACAGCCGGGTCCAAGGGTGCTGTGCCGCACCCCGAGGGGGCAAAGTCTGCGATGGGGCGGGGGTGACGCCCTGGCACCCGCCCCACAACCCCCCCACACTGTCCCAGACCCTCCAGAGGCAAAGTCGGGGGGTAAAGGCTTTATTGGGGGGCTGCACCAACAGCAGGGGGGTTCTGGGTGTCTGTGGGAGGGAAAGAAGACGGTTGGGGGACACTTGGGGTTGGGGGACAAGGGGACACTGTGGGGTGGGGGGCAGGCTGATGAGGGCTGGGGAGGGGATGTGGGGATGATGTGAGGGGCTGCTGTGGGGCAGAGGGGGTCATGTGGGGTAGGGGGGATGTGGGGCAGGACTGGGCGTGCGGAAGCAGCTCCGGTGCCGTCCAGGCCTTATAAGGACAACGCGGCAGCTCCGGCGCTTCCTGTTCCCCCCCCATCTGACTCACGGAGGGGAGGAGGGGCCCGGACGTGCCCCATGGAGGGAATTGGGGTGTCAGGGGTTGGTCCGTGAGGCAGAACTTCCCCCCCGTGGCATGGAGGAGCCCAGGTGTTCAGGTCCCCTATGTGCCACCCCTACCCCCACTTCCATGGGGCCAAAGCCCCTCATTACCCCATCACTGTGCCACCTGTGGGGCTGGGGTGCCCTGTCACCTGTAAGATGGTGTAACTGGGGCTCCCCTGTCCCCAGATGACCCCCTCACCTCTGTCACCTGTAGGACAGTGTCATCTGTGTCACCTCCGGTAATCTGCACCCTCGGGTGGCCACACCACCTCCCAGCACCTCAGGGGGACCACACAATTGGGGGGGTTGTTGGAGGGAAGGGGCAGAGTTTTAGGGGAGATTAGAGCCTTGGAAAGCCGTGGGGAGGGGTTGGGATGTGGGACCTGACCAGTGACTCCCGGTTAGAACCAGTAACAGGAACTGGCAGGAGGTGCCACAGTGGGTAGGGGAGTTCAGAGTGCCCCCAGTGCAGACTGAGGCACCTGAGACCATCTCTAGTGCCCCCCAGTATAACCAGACTGCCTCCCAGCGTGCCCGGAGTGCCCCCAGGGTGGCGGAATGTCCCCCCGTGTGCCCGGAGTACCCCCAGGGTGGCGGAATGTCCCCCCGTGTGCCCGGAGTGCCCCCAGGGTGGCGGAATGTCCCCCCGTGTGCCCGGAGTGTCCCCCCGTGTGCCCAGAGTGCCTCCCAGTGTGCCCGGAGTGCCTCCCAGTGCCTCCAGTGTACCCACAGCGCCCCCTAGTGTCCCAAATGCCTTCCCACTATGTCCCAGCGCCTCCCCAGCACTCACTACCTGGAATAGGACTGGGCAGGCAACGCAACGGCGGCTGAGCAGCGGCGGGTCCGGGTCCGGGTCCGGGTCCGAATGCGGGGCTGGCTCCGGGGGGTCCAGGATGGTCCCGGCCCCTCCCGCCCGGCCGGCTCCCCTCAGGAGCCACAAGATGGCAGAATCTCGCGAGACTGAGAGGTGGGGGCACGCCCCAAATCCCGCCCACGGCCCTACTGACCAATCCCCGCGATTCTTCTTCCCGCCTAAACACCCTCCACCGATGAGAACCAGGGGCGGGGGCAGGCGCGACCACGCCCTCTTCCCAGATAACTCCGCCGAACCACACCACGCCCCCTCCCCTCCGAAGTTCACGCCCCCTGGAGGACAGGCCACGCCCCCCGGCGGCGCGCACGCGCCCCGCGCAGGAGCAGTGGCGCCGCGCCCCCCCCGAGTCACCTTGGGGCGCCGCCGGTCCGGGACCCCGCGCGCGCCCCCCGCTCTCTGCGCGCGCCCGCCCCGCGCCCCTCGCGACCCCCCGGGACACCCCCCGGGGCGCCGTGCCCTCCCCCCGGTTCCCCACCCCGGGACCGGGGCCCGCCCGCCATGGCGGCGGCGCCGGCGGCCGAGAGGCCCAAGACCTCCCCGAAGTCCATCAAGTTTCTCTTCGGCGGCCTGGCCGGGTGAGAGACCCCCGCCCCCAAAACCGAGATTCCCCCCCCAAACCGAAGCCCCCCCCCCCCCAAAAGCGAGAACCCTCCGCCAAAACCGGGACACCCCCTCAAACAGAGACAACCCTCCCCCCGAAGACCCCCCCAAGCCCCTTCAGCCCCCCGCAGTACTCCCGTTGCCCCTTCAGCTCAACCCCCTGAGCCTCCCTCAGCCTCCCAAAACCCTTTAACTCTCCCCCTCCGAAAATTCCCACCATTGGCCTCCACAGCACTCCCTAAAATCCCGTCAGATCCCCTAAATCCCTTCCAGCTCTCCCAAATCCCTTCTGACTCCCCCAAATGCCCCCCAAGCCCCCTCCAGACCTCCTAAATCCCTTCTGAGTTCGCCAAATCCTCCCCAAGTTCCCTGCAGCCCCGCTAACCTCCTCCCAGTGTCCCCCCAAATCAATTCTAACCCACTGAGCCCCTTCAGGCCTCCTGAAACCCCCTCCAGCTCCTCCCAACCCCCTCACCAGTGTCCCCTCCCAGCCCCCCAAAACTCCTTCAGAACCTCCAACCCCCCTCAGCCCAGGAATCCCCTGAGAGGGCTGTGGGTGGATCGGGGGGCCTGTGGGAGAAGTGTGAGTATTTTTGGAGTCCCCCTGACCCTCCTTGACCCCCCCTCTCCAGGATGGGGGCCACTGTCTTCGTGCAGCCCCTGGACCTGGTGAAGAACCGGATGCAGCTGAGTGGGGCCGGGGCAAAGGGGCGTGAGTACCGCACGTCCCTGCACGCCCTGGGCTCCATCCTGCGCCACGAGGGGCTGCGGGGTGTCTACACGGGGTACGGGTCCCCCAAAACCCTTCTGAACCCCCAAACCCCCGGGGACTTCCCCAAACGCCGTGTCCCTTCACGCCCTGGGGTTCATCCTGCGCCACGAGGGGCTGCGGGGTGTCTACAAGGGGTACGGAACCCCCGAAACGCTCTGCCACCCCCCAAAGCCTCTGGGCCCTTCCCAGACCCCATGTCCCCACATTCCCTGGGGTCCATCCTATACCACGAGGGGCTTCGGGGTGTCTGCACAGGGTATGGGCCCCCCCAAACCCCCTGAGCTCCCCTAACACCCCCTGAACCTCCCCAAAACTTGCCTGCAAGCCTTGGGCTCTTCCCTGCCCCCTATTTCCGGGCTCCCCCGTTCTCGGGGTGCCCTATTTTCGGGGTGTGCTCCCCCAGGCTGTCAGCAGGGCTCCTGCGCCAGGCCACCTACACCACCACCCGCCTGGGGATCTACAGCGTCCTGCTCGAGCGGTTCGGGGGCCCCGACGGGACCCCCCCTCCGTTCCTGGCCAAGGCCGCCATGGGGATGACAGCGGGGGCTGCGGGGGCCTTTGTGGGGACCCCTGCTGAGGTCGCTCTGATCCGCATGACGGCTGATGGCAGGTGAGGCTCCCCCCCCAAAATTTTCCCCCGGGCCTCCAAATTCAACTTTTTTACCAAAATCCCCTTTTTTCACCCCAATTCACAGGCTGCCCCCTGGCGAGCGCCGCGGGTATCGCAACGTGTTTGATGCCCTCGTGAGGATGGCGAGGGAGGAGGGGGTTCTCACACTGTGGAGGGTATGGAGGGGCCTGGGGGACCCCAAAATCCGTCTCCCCCTCCCTAAAGCTCCCCTAGTCCTCTCCATGATCCCAAATGCTCTGAGACCTCCCCCCCATCATCCCGGGACCCTCCCCCGGGGGTGCACGGAGGGGGGGTCGTTCTCATGGTTTGGAGGGGTTTGGGAGTGCAGGGGGTCCCCCGAAACCCCCTCATCTCCCCCTAGGGCTGTGCCCTCACTGCAGTAAGGGAGGAAGGCAGGCAGGTGGGGTGTCTGAAGGTGCAGGGGGAGATGGGGGGAGGGCCTGGGGGTGCAGGGGGCTCCCCAACCCCCTCTATCTCTCCCCAGGGCTGTATCCCCACCATGGCCCGCGCCGTGGTCGTCAATGCTGCCCAACTTGCCTCCTACTCCCAATCCAAGCAATTCCTGCTCGACTCTGGTGAGTTTGGGGCTCTGCCCTGGGGGTCCCCCCAAATCCTGGCACACCCTCCCCTATCCCCCTTTGATGTTTTGGGGTCCCTCCAGGGCATTTCCGTGACGACATCCTGTGCCACTTCTGTGCCAGCATGATCAGCGGGCTGGTGACCACGGCCGCCTCCATGCCCGTTGACATCGTCAAGACCCGGTGGGTTCATTTGGGGGATCCCCCACCCTCCCCTGTCAATTAATTATGGATTTGGGGGTCATCCCAAAACCTCTCCTATTTCACCCGAAAAATTCGGACAGGATCCAGAACATGCGGACTGTCGATGGGAAACCCGAGTACCGCAACGGGCTGGTGAGCGAGCAGGGCTCTGGGAGGGCCTCAGCGTTTGGGGGCGGCCCCCATCATTCTGGGGGGGATTCTCTGTCATTTGGGGCACGGTTCCTGTCATTTTGCAGGGGTTCCTTTTCAACTGGGGGGGGGTCCCCACTGTTTTGAGGGCATTGCCTGTCATTGATGGGGCAGTTCAGGTCCTTTTTGAGGAGGTCCCCATCATTTTGGGGAGTTCCCTTGCCATTTTGAGGGGAGTCTCCATCATTTTGGGAAGGTTTCCCATCACCGGGGAGATGAGGGGTTCATTTTCAGACGGCTTCTCGTAATTTTGGGTGTGGGGTTCCCTCCCTGCAGGACGTGCTGGTGAAGGTGGTGCGGTACGAGGGGTTCTTCAGCCTCTGGAAGGGCTTCACCCCCTACTACGCCCGCCTGGGCCCCCACACCGTGCTCACCTTCATCTTCCTCGAGCAGATGAACAAGTGGTACCAGCGGCTCTTCCTCAGTGCCTGACCCCCACTCTGGGGGGGAGGTCAGGGGGATCTGATCCCATTCTGGGGGCTCTATAGGGGCATCTGACCCCCCCCCAGAGGAGTCTGGGGGAGGGTCTGACGTCCCCCTCGAGGGCTGGGGGGGTGCCTGACTCCCAACGGGGGGGGGGGTGCTCTGTAGGGATGCCTGTCTCCCCCACCCATCAAGGCTATGAAGTAGCCCTGGGGCCCTATGGAGGGGTCTTGGGCCCTACTGGGGTGCATGACACCCTCCCCAGGGCTATAGGGACCCCAGGGGCCCTATGGAGAGGTCCTGGGCTCTATAGGGGCGCTTGATGCCCAACATGGGGGTAACAGGGGGGTTCCTGGGGGGTGTCTCGTCCCAAAGGGACAGCCCTAGACTTCCTATGGAAAACGTAGGGTGTCCTGTAGGGGCCCCCCTACTCCATGTGCCCTCTTCTCACACCCCCTGGGGGTTTTGTTACCAGCCAACGTCAAGATCACACTGTGGGGCAAGAGCCCCCCGAAGCCCCCCCCAACCCCTTCCCCGTGCTTTGTTAATGAATCATGAATCGTGATCATGTAATTAAAGCAAAACCCCACAACGATGGGGGTGTGGTTTATGTCTGTGACACCAGGGGCAGGGCCATGCGGGAGGCACGTGGCTCACGTCCCACACCGCGGGTCTGGCCGTGGCCCCCTGGAGGGGACCCCCCCGAACACACAGCGGAGGCAGTGGATCCGCGGAGCCATTTGTGTTGTCCTCCCCCACCTCGTTCAGGGGTCCCGGGGGGCCCCTCTCTCAGGCAGGGGGGCCACCGTCACCCCAGGGCAGGTCGGGGCCAGCCAGGACGGTCCGTTCCACCCCCTCCTCGGTGATGGCCGCCAGCCGGATCACGCCCCCGCTGGAGCCGTCCCGCACCATCGCCAAGGCCAGTGCTGGGGGACACAGGTTAGGGACCCCCAGAGTCCCTCAGGGACCCCCAAACCCCCTCCCAGTGCCCCCCAGATCCCCTCCAAGGGCTCCCCAAATCGCCTCCCAGCACCCTCCCCAAACCCCACAGTGCCCCTCCCAAACCTCCTCCCAGGACCCCCTCGCACCCTTACACGTTCCCCAAATCCCCAAGTCCCAGGACTCCCCCAGACTCCTCTGTGCTTCTCAAAATGCCTCCCAGGACCCTCCCAACCACTGCCTGGCCCCGCCCCCCACCCCGAGTCCCCCAAACCCACCACGGGCGACGAACTCCTGGCACTGGGAGCGGCTCATCCCAGGCTGGAATGTGGCATCCAGGTATCCGTAGATATAGGAGCTGCCCGAGCCCCCCACGGCGAAGGGCTGGCGCAGGAGAAGCCCCCCCAGCGGCACCACATACACCTGGGTGGTACAGGGGGGGCTGTAGGGCACTATGGGGTAGAGAGGGGGGGCTGTGGGGCAGGAGGGTGCAGGCAGAGCCTGGGGCTGAGGAGGGGCTATGGGATAGAAAGGGGGGGACTGTGTGGCAGAGAAGGAGATGCCAGGAGGCAGAAGAGGACATAGGGCAGAGCAAGGCACTCCAGGAGAGAAAAGGGGGGGACACTGTGGGCCAGAAGGACCCTCACCTGTCCCCCCCGGCGCGGGTCCCAGCCGGCCACGATGATGCCGGCGCTGAGCTCCTCGCGGTAGCGGTAGCAGCTCTGCTGGAACAGGCGCGCGGCCGTGCGCACCCGCGGCGGCTCCTCCAGCTCCACGCTGTGGGGCAGGGACGGCCGTGGGGCCGGGGGTCAGCCTGGGGGCCCTCCACGCGCCCCAGCCCTGCCCCACAGCAGGGGTACCTGTGGAAGGCCAGCTGGTAGGCCACGGCGTCGGCCACCGCCTGCGTGTCGGCCGCCGAGCCCGAGCGGCAGCAGAAGATGCGGTCGTGGACCGGGGTCAGCTTGTCCGTCACACGGTTGGCCACGTAGGACCTGGGGGACACCGCCAGTTTGAGGTGATCCCGCAGGGACACAACACGGCAGAGGTGCTGGGACAGCCCTGGAAAGGAGCCGTTGGCCCCAAAAAGCTGCCAGAGCCCCCCGGCACCCCTGGAGCTGTCACCGCTTCAGGCCAAGAGGAATTTCGTTGGACCCAAAATACCAGGTTTTGCAAAGAGGGGAGTTAAAAAAGGTGGAATTTGCTGTGCTAATAAGCTGATTTTTAGTACCACCGCTGGGGAACAGTTCTGTGGGATTCACAAACTCCCCCTGAAGGAGGAAAAAGGATTTGGCCAAGGAAAATGGGATCTGTGGTGAGAAATCCAAAGACTGGGACCAGGAGCACAAGCTTTAACCTGAGAATGTTTTTTCGGGAATTACTGCACAAAAATAAAGGATTCTTGGATGAATTTGGTGATGAAAAATGCCTGTCAGGTGCGACACTGATACCTGCGGCCACATGGGGCCACGGCCACAGCTTCGGGGGTGGCATCACGCTGACATCATGGTGACACCAGGACAAGGGGTCATGGGTGACAACCCCGGGACAGGGCCTGGCCCTGGTGATGTCACTGATGACGTCACATCACCATCCTCACCCGGTGGTGGTGCGGGAGTCGGCCCCGATGACGACACCTCCGTCGAACTCCACGGCCATGATGGTGGTCTGGGGGGAGGGGCTGCACTGGGGGTCCCTGTGCCACAGCAGCCCCGTCCCCACCGAACCCCCCTGTGCCACAGAACCCCCTCCTCCCCACAGCAGCCCCTGCCCCACAGAACGCCCCTCCCCACAGCAGCCTCTGTCCCACAGAACCCCCCGTCCCACAGCAGCCCCTGCCCCACAGAATCCCCCCTGCCCCACAGCAGCCCCCGCCCCACATAACACCCCTTCCTACAGCAGCCCCCCATCCCCACAGAATCCCCCGGCGGGGTCCCTCTGACACACATCACCCTTCCAGCCCCTATGGGGAACTCACCATCCCCGAAGCCCTCTCTCCAGCCCCACTCTGGGGTCCCTTGTGCCCTATACCCACCAACAGTCCCCAGGATGGCTCCCCGCACCGGGGACCCTCCGTCCCACAGCCCGCCCCCTGCCCACGGCGGGCCCTCCTTCCCATCGCACACCCCCAGCCCCGCGGCGGGGGAGCGGGTGCCCCCGCGGCTCCCGGCGCACTCACGCCGGTGCTGACGGGCTCCGCCGTCCAGTCCCGATGCAGCCCCGCGGGGCCCGGCGCGGCCCGGGGCTCCCGCACCGTCACCGCCGCCATCTTCCGCGCGCTTTACGGCAGCGTGGCCGGCGCGACGTGGAGGCTGCGACGCTTTACGGCAGCGCCCCCAAAAGCCTGAAAATCCATTGGGGGGTGCGCAAAAAATCTTAAGACCTGACGATTCTCATTTTTCTATGTATTAAAAAATGATCCTAGTTAATATATAAATTACTTTCAACTGTATTATATATAGGATCTTGGAGTATAAGAAATTCCGAATATAGATATATAGGGTTGGAAAATACAAATAAACTTTTTATAAATATAAATTAAACAATACTTGGAAAACACAATAACTACGTCTAAGAAGCAACCTGCAACAATAAATAAACATATACGATGCAGTCCAGAAGTCATTGGGCTGCAATGCAAAGGGACTCCCCGTGGCTCTCAGAAGACTCCGTCGATGATCGTTCGGCCGATCTCACCCCGGACGCCCTAAGTTCTGGGAAAACCGGTGCCGTCTTTCACCCGGGAATCTGAGTCTCCTTTGGGTGGCTGTAAGACAAAAGGGGAGGGACTCTGAAGTGTGCCTTCTGTGACCTTGGACTCACCCCCAAACTGAGCCTATACATTTCGTAAGCCCAAAGACCCTGACAAATGCCCGTACCATAGACACTGGTTCCTACTCCACCTAGCCGGGACTCCATACACCCCAGCAGGGCATCGCAAGACCGTCCTGCTCACAGACTGGACAGCCATCGGCTCCACTGTCTAAGGGAACTGACATGCTGACCTGAGACTCGGAGCCACATTCCATCTACCCACTGATCCACGGAGCAGGGCAGAGCAGTTCCAGGCTGACCCCAAGTGAGACACCCCATACCCGTGACAACACAGACCGTGTGACACAATTAAGAGACAAACCTCGCTTTGACAAGATTAGATTGTAAGAATTGAGATGCTGTGGAAAAGCATGACCTATAGGACTACTGTGATAACGTGACTAGGCTCAAAGGATCCTGAAAAATAAAAATGCTAACGAGATGATTGGTCCTAAGTGCCTGTCAAAACCCTGACGATGGATGCACGATGTCGCCACGTTCGGAAGCTAAGAAAGGAATGATGTGGAAAACAAGTCCTCCTGCTTTATGAGGGATGGCTGGAGAGCATCAGTGAGGATATGGCCTGGAATGAGGCCTTAAAAGAGGTCTGACCGTTACAGTCAGAGATGTGATTCCAAAGAAGGCCTGAACCTGCAAATGAAGCAACTGACAACTCCGGTACTTGGCTACACAGAGAAGACTTTCAAGAACCTAAGGATGATGCCTGATGCTTCCCATGAGCCCCTCGAGGGCAAGATGCAAAAACCCTAAGGACACAAAACATGGACGAGACAAAGAATGTGACACCGACTGGAACTGCTCTGCCCTGCACACGGGAATCCAATGATAAAAAAAAAGCCCTTCCTTTGATGTGTCCAAATAACCTGTCACAGGATACCCCCTGCACCGGAATAATTGCAAAAATCCCTCCAGGTGAGGCACACACTTGCACCCACTCCCAACCCCTCTCTGGGTCTTTGCCCTGCACTTATCTTGCCGAGAGCAGGGGATGCCAATCCATCTTGGATGCACAGGAGGGGCACCAGGGCTGCCTCAGAGGTTCCTGCCATCGTCACACTACTCAGAGTCAGCTGTGAGAAAGAAAACCAGACACCAGATCTGAGGAGTGTGGCACGAGGCCCCAGCCCCCACGATCCCTCTACTCACTGTCACCCAGGCAGGTCCTTGGGTCGCTGACTCTGACCAGACTTGGACAACGTGCTGTCATCTTCTGGGATACCTGAGAGAGAGAGAGAGAGAGAGAGACAAAATTAGAGGGCATCTCTAAAGCTGCAGTGGATCCCCGCTCCTCCTGCTGCCTCCCCGACTCACCTCCAATGCTCATCTGCTCCCAAAGGTTACCCGGATGGCACCTGCAATCAAAAAAGCTCAGTGCTTCGTTGCTGATCCTTTCAATACTCGGAGATCACCTACAAGGGCAGCTCCAGAGGACCAAACTGTGTCCGTCACCTCACTGTGAGTTGGCTTCGGCCCTGTCAGGCTGTGTACATCTCCTGCAAAAAAACCCAGAGGCAAGTGTGAGTACTTAGATACTGCCCAAGAGTTTGCTGCTCCCGTGGCAGCTTCTGTCTGACACCCCTTGACCGTGACCTCTTACAGGCAGGGTCCCCGTCACGTTGGACTGCACGTTAGAAGTCTGTGCACTGCCTGGAAAACAAAAAACCAAGTATGTACACAGATTCACCACAAATACACCACCTGCAAAAGAGCAGCTAGTTTTGTCCTGCAGTCACTGCTCACCTTCCTCACCGGGCTCACCTTCCCTCTGGTGCCTGTCGTCTGCTGGGCTGAGGGCTCTGCATCTTAAAAAAAAATAAAAAAACAAAACTAAACCACCAAACCATCCAAATGATCAAGTAAACCAAGGGCCAAAAGTCATGTCTTGGCTCTGACCTCACATGAGGACCCACCTTCTGACTGTGCTCCTCCAGCCTCCTCTGTTCATCTCTGCTTTACATCCAGTCCATCTGATGCTGCAAAGAAATGAGTTAGCAAAGTCAGCCACATAGACAGGGGGACCTTAACTGCTGTGCAATTCTAATTTCTCCTTAGACAAGCCCTCTGGGGTCCAAAGACAACCTGCACAAACAAACACTGACCTCACTTTAAGGCCCTGCCCTCAGTGCCTGAGCCTATCCACAGGGTAACTGGGAGGTCTCCTTTCTACTCCACCTACCCCCAAGTCTACACTGCAGGGCAGAGCAGTTCCAGGCCCAACACAAACTCCAAGGACACATTTCCAGACAAGGGCTGTGGTGCAACCAGGAGAGAGAGCTCTGAGAAAGGAACGACGCCAAAACGGATGTGCTGCCGCACGAGAAGACGGAGGATACGGCGAGACTGAACGGAGGAGGCTCTGAGGAGCCTGAAAAGACACTCGAACAGAATGGCCTGGGACAAGAACTGCCCACAAAATTGCTGAGATGGATGGGAGACAAGGCTATGCTCAGAATCTTCTTAGATTCTCACAAGTCCCAGGTGGGATGACAAGGGATGACTGCACGGCACAGCCACCGATACAACCTGTGAGGAGGCTGTAAAAGACACCTGACCTGACACTTCTCAGATGTGATTCCGATGCACGTCCAAGCTAGTGAGCCAAAGAACGGATGGTATGGGCACTGGGCTGGGCAGTGCAGAGGTTCAAGACTCTAGGAATGATGCCTTGGCATCTCTGATAAGACCTTGGAGGGCAGGAAGCAAAGACACCCTGACTGTGAATTGTAAGACACGAAACACAGACCGGACAAAGGACACGACACAGACCTGAACTGCTCTGCCCTGCACATCCTACTCCATGATGAAAAGTAAACTGCTCCTCCTATGTGTGCCAAGGGCCTGTTAGGGCAGACCCTTTCCCCTCTGCTCATTTGACAATCCCTCCCTCCTAACCATAAAACTGGACCCAGCTCCCATCCCCTCTCCAGGTGGGAGCCCTCCACTTATCTTTCCCACAGCTGGGGATGTGAATCCATCTTCGATGCCAAGGAAGGACGCCCGGCTGGCTCAGAGGGTCCTGTGATCCCTGACTCGGTCGCTGGGAGAAAGAAAACAGAAACTGAGACAAGAGTTGGGCAGCAGGTGGGAGATAACCCTGCAATTGGCTACTCACCCTCCCCTGAGCTGAGAGGTTCTCGGGCCACTGGCTCCAACCCCAGTCGGAGGCTGCTGCCATCACCGTGTGCCGTACCTGGGGGAGTGAGAAAAAAAGTTATGGGGTGTTTCTGAAAGTAAGGGAGACCCCAGCACCTCCTCCCTACCTCCCTGACTCAACCTCAGTGCTCCTCCTTGGCCAAAGGCAGGCTGGATGGCACCTGCAGCTGGGAAAGGTCGAGCCTTAATTGATGACCCTGGTAGTACTAGGAGATTACTCACAAGGACAGCTGAAGACCATCACACCTAACTGGCAGGTGGCTCCAGCCCTCTGAGCCTGCACACATTCTCTGCAAAGTAAAAAAGCCAAAGGCAAATATACAGACTGAGGTACTGCCTGAAAGGATGGCTTTCCTGGGGGAGCTCCTTCCTACCTCTCCTCCACAGTGACCTCTCACCAGCAGGGGCCCTGAAGCACTGGACTGTCTGTGAGAAGGTGGCAGAACCCCTGGAAAACACAACAAACAAAGCATGTGCACAGATTCACCACAACACCTGTAAAAGACCATCCAGTTCTGTCCTGGAGTCAGTGCTCACCTTGCTCACCGGGACTCACCCGGATCACCTCCCCTCCAGTGCCTAGAGCCTCCTGGGACCAGGGCTCTGCAGCTGAAAACAAAGAAAAAACAAACCAGAACAACAAAATCCTTCACACATCCAGTAAAGGTGGAGCCAAAAGCCACATCTTTGTGCTGATGTCAGGTGACCACCCACCTTCTTGCTCTGCTCCTCTGCCAAAGACTGCAGCTGTGATGGCAGAGAATATCTGGGGGAAGGAGAGGAAAACTGAAGTGGCACATCTGAAAAGTCAGTGGGTGCCTTCACAGGCATTTAGGGGGCTCCTGGACACTGCTTTCCACCCATACTACCTTCAAAACACCCCTGGCAATTCTTAACCTGGCACCCCAGCCCTCATTCTATCTGTGGGCTGTAACCCCCCACTGACTACTTGCAAACCTGGGTGTCTGTAGCATCTAAAACACAGAGCAGCTTCACCTGAGGACTGGATAACACTGGTGAAAAAATGCCAAGGTGCAGTTGAGATGATGAGGAGATCCCAAAAGATGCAAGGCTCCTAAGGAAAAGAGAAACAGATAACCAGTTATAAAAGCAGCTTACCAACACCAAGCTATTAAATTCAAAAACCCTGCATGTGAGTGTAACCCTCTTCATTGCCATCTACAGCTCTGCTGCTTTGGATGCCAAAGCTGATGCCTCAATAAAGCAGGAATAGCTTGAGAAGTCCCACCCAATGAAAGAAAGGGAGAGCTCTTATCCCATTGAAGCCCCGCTGCTGGATGAGCTCACTGCACACGACTGCACCTGAGCTATGGGCCCCTGAGTTAGGGACCCCTGAGCTAGGGACCCCTGAGTTAGGGACCCCTGAGTTAGGGACCCCTGAGCTAGGGACCCCCGAGCTAGGGACCCCTGAGCTACGGACCCCTGAGCTACGGACCCCCGAGCTAGGGACCCCCGAGCTAGGGACCCCCGAGCTAGGGACCCCAGAGCTAGGGACCCCAGAGCTAGGGACCCCAGAGCTAGGGACCCCAGAGCTATGCACACCTGCTCCATCCGGCAGGACCGTACAGCCACGGGCTCGACTGTCTGGGGTAACTGACAGGGTGATGGGAGACTGAGCAATATTCTATCTACCCACTGATCCACGGAGCAGGGCAGAGCAGGTCCAGGCTGACCCCAAGTGACACACCCCACACCTGTGACCACACACACCACGTGACACAGAACACGGAGCAGACAAAGGACGTGACACAGACTGGAACTGCTCTGCCCTGCACACGGGAATCCAATGATACAAACTAAGCCCTTCCTTTGATGCGTCCAAATAACCTGTCCCAGGATACCCCCTGCACCGGACTAATTGCAAAAATCCCTCCAGGTGAGGCACACACTTGCACCCACTCCCAACCCCTCTCTGGGTCTTTGCCCTGCACTTATCTTGCCGAGAGCAGGGGATGCCAATCCATCTTGGATGCACAGGAGGGGCACCAGGGCTGCCTCAGAGGTTCCTGCCATCGATGCCAATCCATCTTGGATGCACAGGAGGGGCACCAGGGCTGCCTCAGAGGTTCCTGCCATCGTCACACTACTCGGAGTCACGCTGTGAGAAAGAAAACCAGACACCAGATCTGCGGAGTGTGGCACGAGGGCCCAGCCCCCCCGATCCCTATAATCACTGTCACCCAGGCAGTTCCTTGGGATTAGAGACTCTGACAGACTTGGGACACACGTGATGTCAATCTTCTGGGATACCTGAGAGAGAGAGCGAGACAAATAGGAGGGGCATCTCTAAAGCGGCAGTGGATCCCCGTCTACTGCCTCCTCCCCACCCCCGGACCCACTCAAAACCATCCCAAGGCATCATTGCTCCCAAAGGTTACCCGGATGGCACCTGCAATCAAAAAAGCTCAGTGCTTCGTTGCTGATCCTTTCAATACTCGGAGATCACCTACAAGGGCAGCTCCAGAGGACCAAACTGTGTCCGTCACCTCACTGTGAGTTGGCTTCGGCCCTGTCAGGCTGTGTACATCTCCTGCAAAAAATCCCAGAGGCAACTGTGAGTACTGAGATACTGCCCAAGAGTTTGCTGCTCCCGTGGCAGCTTCTGTCTGACACCCCTTGACCGTGACCTCTTACAGGCAGGGTCCCCGTCACGTTGGACTGCACGTTAGAAGTCTGTGCACTGCCTGTAAAACAAAAAAACAAGTATGTACACAGATTCACCACAAGTACACCACCTGCAAAAGAGCAGCTAGTTTTGTCCTGCAGTCACTGCTCACCTTCCTCACCGGGCTCACCTTCCCTCTGGTGCCTGTCATCTGTTGGGCCGAGGGCTCTGCATCTTAAAAAAAACCAAAAAACCGAAACTAAACCACCAAACCATCCAAATGATCAAGTAAACCAAGGGCCAAAAGTCATGTCTTGGCTCTGACCTCACATGAGGACCCACCTTCTGACTGTGCTCCTCCAGCCTCTTCTGTTCTTCTCTGCTTTACATCCAGTCCATCTGATGCTGCAAAGAAATGAGGTACCAAAGTCAGCCACATAGACAGGGGGACCTTAACTGCTGTGCAATTCTAATTTCTCCTTAGACAAGCCCTCTGGGGTCCAAAGACAACCTGCACAAACAAACACTGACCTCACTTTAAGGCCCTGCCCTCAGTGCCTGAGCCTATCCACAGGGGAACTGGGAGGTCTCCTTTCTACTCCACCTACCCCCAAGTCTACACTGCAGGGCAGAGCAGTTCCAGGCCCAACACAAACTCCGAGGACACATTTCCAGACAAGGGCTGTGGTGCAACCAGGAGAGAGAGCTCTGAGAAAGGAACGACGCCAAAACGGATGTGCTGCCGCACGAGAAGACGGAGGATACGGCGAGACTGAACGGAGGAGGCTCTGAGGAGCCTGAAAAGACACTCGAACAGAATGGCCTGGGACAAGAACTGCCTACAAAACTGCTGAGATGGATGGGAGACAAGGCTATGCTCAGAATCTTCTTAGATTCTCACAAGTCCCAGGTGGGATGACAAGGGATGACTGCACGGCACAGCCACCGATACAACCTGTGAGGAGGCTGTAAAAGACACCTGACCTGACACTTCTCAGATGCGATTCCGATGCACGTCCAAGCTAGCCAGCCAAAGAACGGATGGTATGGGCACTGGGCTGGGCAGTGCAGAGGTTCAAGACCCTAGGAATGATGCCTTGGCATCTCAGATAAGAACTTTGAGGGTAGGAAGCAAAGACATGGTGACTGTGAATTGTAAGACACGAAACACAGACGGGACAAAGGACACGACACAGACCTGAACTGCTCTGCCCTGCACATCCTACTCCATGATGAAAAGTAAACTGCTCCTCCTATGTGTGCCAAGGGCCTGTTAGGGCAGACCCTTTCCCCTCTGCTCATTTGACAATCCCTCCCTCCTAACCATAAAACTGGACCCAGCTCCCATCCCCTCTCCAGGTGGGAGTCCTCCACTTATCTTTCCCACAGCTGGGGATGTGAATCCATCTTCGATGCCAAGGAAGGACGCCCGGCTGGCTCAGAGGGTCCTGTGATCCCTGACTCGGTCGCTGGGAGAAAGAAAACAGAAACTGAGACAAGAGTTGGGCAGCATGCGGGAGATAACCCTGCAATTGGCTACTCACCCTCCCCTGAGCTGAGAGGTTCTCGGGCCACTGGCTCCGACCCCAGTCGGAGGCTGCTGCCATCACCGTGTGCCGTACCTGGGGGAGTGAGAAAAAAAGTTATGGGGTGTTTCTGAAAGTAAGGAAGACCCCAGCACCTCCTCCCTACCTCCCTGACTCAACCTCAGTGCTCCTCCTTGGCCAAAGGCAGGCTGGAGGGCACCTGCAGCTGGGAAAGCTCCAGCCTTAATTGATGACCCTGGTAGTACTAGGAGATTACTCACAAGGACAGCTGAAGACCATCACACCTAACTGGCAGGTGGCTCCGGCCCTCTGAGCCTGCACACATTCTCTGCAAAGTAAAAAAGCCAAAGGCAAAGGTACAGACTGAGGTACTGCCTGAAAGGATGGCTTTCCTGGGGGAGCTCCTACCTACCTCTCCTCCACAGTGACCTCTTACCAGCAGGGGCCCTGAAGCACTGGACTGTCTGTGAGAAGGTGGCAGAACCCCTGGAAAACACAAGAAACAAAGCATGTGCACAGATTCACCACAACACCTGTAAGAGACCATCCAGTCCTGTCCTGGAGTCAATGCTCACCTTGCTCACTGGGACTCACCTGGATCACCTCCCCTCCGGTGCCTAGAGCCTCCTGGGGCCAGGGCTCTGCAGCTGAAAACAAAGAAAAAACAAACCAGAACAACAAAATCCTTAACACACAAGCAAACGTGGAGCTAAAAGCCACATCTTGGTGCTGATGTCAGGTGACCACCCACCTTCTTGCTCTGCTCCTCTGCCAAAGACTGCAGCTGTGATGGCACAGAATATCTGGGGGAAGGAGAGGAAAACTGAAGTGGCACAGCTGAAAAGTCAGTGGGTGCCTTCACAGGCATTTAGGGGGCTCCTGGACACTGCTTTCCACCCATCCTACCTTCAAAACACCCCTGGCAATTCTTAACCTGGCACCCCAGCCCTCATTCTATCTGTGGGCTGTAACCCCCCACTGACTACTTGCAAACCTGGGTGTCTGTAGCATCTTCAACA